TCAGATATAAACAGAAAATCAAAATTTGCTTTTTATGCATAAAAAAATCCTCACTATTAATATCTAAAGATACGAGATACTAGAAAAAATGACAATGAACTAATTCCATGGGCAAATTTTAAACACGAATATCAATTTTGAAAATGCTTTGAACGATATCAAAGCATTTTGTTCAAAAAAACCTCACTAAAATGACTATAACTCAACAAGGAAGATTCATCTCTAAAGTGATGTATCAGTTAAGTATCTTTATTCTTTAAATTTATAACTCAACTTTATATGAAACTAAATATAACATTTATAAAGTAGAGCCCGTTGAATTGATCCTGGAACTGGATTCGATGGGCTCTAGTGTAGGATATTTAAATGAATCATAAACAAAGAGTTTGAAAAAACAAATCACCTTTCGTTTCAGTATTCATTCAACAGTAACTAACATGAATTTCTAATGGACATTGATTAAATATTTTCATAAAACCAGCACTCATATGAACTCATGGTACACTTAAAATACCATTTAATGATATTGAATGATCTTGTTTTCTTTGAAGTGTATGATTAGAAATTGGTGAAATATTTTCATAATCATTATTTCGTTTTAATGTATTATTATTTGTATCAATATCATTTTCATAGAATGTTTCTTGTTGTTCTTTTTTTTATATAATTTTGATTTTGGTTCTCATTTTATTGTATTATCTTTAATAGAATCTTCATTTTCTTCAACATCAGCTTCATATATTACATATTACATCAACAATATGTTGAATTTCATTTAAAGATAAATTTTCAAATGCACTTAATGATAATTTTTTCATTAAAGTCTTAAAAAAAAATAAAAAGATAAATACACATATATATTTGAATTTGATATATTTGAATTATTATTTTACATGAATATTTTCTTCAGCTAAACCTAATGATTGTAATCGTTGAATATGTTCGACATTTTCATTATTCTTATTTTTTGTTGATAATGGAACATTTAATGGAGAATGCTAAACATAGAAAAAATTAAAATTAAAAACAAAAAGGAATCTCCTGAAAAATATTTTTTATTATATATTATACTCTATTGCTGATTGAATTGTTTTCATTAATTTTAGTTTGAATTGAATTATTGAGAATTGAACCACGAATTAATGAGGATTAATTTAAATTTGTCACAAGAGGTCAAACACCTAAATGATTCAGTTTTAGAAAACATTTTTTTAGTGCTCAAGAATGAATTTTACAATGAAAGTTTCACATTTTTTGATTGTTCCTACTCTAAAATAAGAATATTGGAAGCTGCTGATGTATAAAGTCATTTGTAAAAAATATAAGATCAATATTTTTTCTTTCTACGATATGAAGCATTTAACTGATATCTAAATAACAGTTTGAATACCAAATAAAGTCCTCTATCAAATGCATTCCATACGGAAATTTCATCGATGAACAATGAGAGGAAGATTTCTGAAAAACTAAACAAACTAGTTTTCACATCGTATAAAACTATGTGAAAATTTCTTTTTCAGAGTATCTTAGTAAAAAACTCAAAATCTTGAATAAAAAGAAAAGTTGCCACATGTCCTATGATCTTCCTTTGAAAAGTTACACGGTTCACAAAAAATGAAACCAAAGAGGAGTTTAATTACAGCCTCGCTAAAAGACGTATTTTCGAGTGTGAGTGAGACTATATTCATTTTTTCACAAGCTCACAGTTACACTTACCACAGTATTGCGCAAAAAGAAAATACTGTAAAAATGTAATATCTCAGTAGCAATAAAAGAATAGCTTGCGCTTTTCTCATTCTATTCATAAACTTATTAGAACCTATATAATACACATAGTTTCGATTCTAACAATATGACTTTGGTAATAGGTTTTTTTTTCTTACTTGATGATGATACTGCTTTCGTATCTCTAATTGATGTAATCGTATGTGGTGCTCGAAAGATATTCTAAAATAACTAAACGAGAAAAGCTGATTATAACATTTAAAAATTCCATTACTCTATCATCTTTATCGTTATCTCTATCTTCGGATATGGTATTATTCATTGCTTCATTATATAATCTATCCAAGAGGTCTTTTGCAATTTGTGTTGTTAAATTTTCTTGTAGAAATGGATGCTAGAAAAAAATAAATTTAAACAAACAAAAAAATTCTTCATCATTGAACTCTTCTTATTTCTTTTTACTTCAAGTAATCTTTTAACTGATGATCTTTTCCCTGGATTCTTCATTAAAGCATATTTAATAAAATTTTGAAATGTTATTGATCATTTTGTTCTATGTTTTAATGTTGGTGGTTTAAAACTTGATTTAGACATTAGAAAAAGGACATGCATAGTATGTAAATCAAACATTAGTAGTTGTAATTCAGCAAATTCAATTGCTGTAATACAAACAGTCTATATATCACATAAATGATTATAGCCACCTTTTCGTTCAACAGCGGCAACTTCTGGTACCATCCTAAATTTCAAGCTGAATAAAGAAAAACAAAGAATAGTTTCGTTGTTCATACGAATATGGTGTACCAGTAAATGATTTTCGTTTACACATAGTCTCATTTATACTTGCTGCGACACCAAAATCAGCTGAATCAAATAAAAATAAACTTTCAAAGGGACCATCCATTAAAAGATGTCCAGGTAAAATCGTAATCATTTTTACCACCACTATCACTTCCCCTCCCCTCCTGTTCAGTTTCATTGACTCCTTTCTGAAAGTATAATGTAGAAAAAAAACTTGCTAGAAAGAGCCTACTTGCTCAAATATACCTCTTTATTTTTATTAAATAATTATATCAAAAACTGAAATAAATAAATATATATTTCATAAAACAACAAACAAGAATACACACTATTACAAAGTTTTTGTTTTTTTTAACACACTGTATATAAATGGATAGAAAATCGTTAAAAATAAAAAATGAAGTTCAATATAAATGTTAATCGACAATCTAACAGCGTTTATATTACTGCTTAAAAAAATAATAAGCTGCCCATATAGAATAATTTTCAATAATATTAACATCATATTCATATTCAATTTATTCACATTCAGTTTCTTTTCTATTTAAAACTGCTTTTCCAAACAAACTAACAAAGGAACCTTCTTAAATATCCTCTTCAAATTTCAATGGTTGTTTGTCTATAGAGGACCCAAACTCTTTTAAGGCTTTTCTTAGCGGCGCGCTTGTTTTGGAAGGAGAAGGAAGTAGCAGGTATCATCTACTCTACCTCCGTCGTGTTATCAAGAAAGAAGACAGTATTCTATTTTTGCTACTATTTCTGATCAGAACACTATGTCGTATCTATAGACAAAAAAAAAATTGTAGACATCGAAAAAGAGCATCTAACGAGATTTCCT